TCATACCTTTTTCTACTCTTGTTACTAGGTTTGTTAGAAGGGTAATGTGTTCATTTTCCTCACAATATCAAAACTCTACTTTTTTGCATTTGTCAGATTGATAGTAACAATGCAAACCACATATTTATTGTGTATTGTATTGTATTTTCTTTTTTCTCTCTTTTTATTTTTATCTACCAACCCGAGTTACAAACTTCTGTGCGGTAATGGTCTTTTTTTTTTTTTTTTTTTTTTTTGAGAGAGAGAGAGAGAGAGAGAGAGAGAGATATTGAATGTGATATTCTACCTAAGGCTTTTAACATTTTTGGTAAATGATTTGAACTGTTTCTCAGTATGTTAGGTATAGCAGTATTCCCATATCATTATCCTTAGAAGTCTCAAGCATAAAGAAAAACAACAATGTATATAGATATGTTGAGTTCAGTTTTCTTTTGGCATTAATGTAGATTATATGATAATTGCATAATATTTTGTTACTACAGATTAATTTGAAAGATATAAGTGATATTCATGCGTATGTTTTTCTTTTTTTCTTTTTCTATCTTTTTTCAGTTTTAAGTAGAGTAGCAGAAACCAATTTAGTGACCATCTTTGATGAAAATATGTTCTTAAAAATTGCCTTGCCAATACTTTTTCCAAGGCATGCTTTTTTCTTATATATGGATATAGAAGATATCATAAAGGATATGGTAATAAAATGGGTTTACTTGAACACATGAGTTATTGGTAATGCTTCAGTTTTTCATATGGATTTATTGTATTCTATTATTATTATTAGTTATTATTCATTATTATTATTGCTATTATTATTTTTATTTATTTATTTTTTTTATTATATAGTTTCAAAGCCTTCTTAATGTTTGTATAAATTTAGCATGATTATTATATATTTTTTGGCAGTGATGTAATATAAATATGTATTTACATTTTTGTGAAATATTAATACCTTTTCATTTGCTTCTGTGTGTTACATAATGCTTTCTGAACTTATTTTTCTTGTGTATTTTTTTTCTCAGTTTAGATAATTGCAAGGTTTTCTTTTATGGTTTAGATATTATTGTACATTTTGGCTTTCAGTTTCCTTTGTTAGATGGCTTTGGTATTAAGATTTTCTAGTCCAGATATTCTAGAGGAGTATCAACCCAAAATAATTCCTTCAGATATTTATCGATTTTGTATATTTGTCTACCTTTATATCAGAAATAATTACTATTGAATGTTTTTTTTTTCTTCTTTTAGAAAATATGGCAGGGTTTAGATACTGACAACAGTAGAAATCAGGGATGTACATCTTATCAAATGTTAGTTTTCATTTCTTAATAGAAGTTTTGACATGTATGTAAAAGCATATTTCCCTGTACTGTTTAGTTGAATTTTGCTGTTATTTTTCCATCATGCTGGAAAATAGTATTTACAACTAAAACTGCTAATGGTTTCAAATTGATAAAGGAAGGTTCCCTGTAAATCATCGCACATGATTTGTGTTTTCCCCACATTGCAGACTTTACCTGGCATTTATAAGCAAATCAGATAATCAAAGGAGCATCTTCAAAGTTGATGAAGTACAATGTGGGTTGCATAGCAGTATTAGCCAAAGTCAGTCCCTTTCATTGTCCTTGAAGAGTGCCCTTTGGAGACATTGTAATTATACATACCTCAGGGCCTCATTTCTCTGAAAAGGGCAAGAAGGGCAGTTAATAAGCACACATCAGGCTTTCTTTCAGATGAAGATACTGGCAAGGGCTGGCATGCAATGAATTAGGTCAAAGCCATAGAAAAATACAGAGGCACGGAAGCCTTGATTATTATGAATTTTGTTCTTTCATCACAAAATCTTAATAATGGAGAGAGGAAGGGTGCTTGCATGGAGAGACAAGAAGTGAAGTCCTTTTATTTGGAGGCTGAGTTTTGCATGAATCTCACACTGTGGAGCTTTTCCTCTTCCTTTTCCTTTTCTATGCTCAGACAAGCTTTTTATTCTTAAAGATTTAGATTTCTCTGAGAATGTTCCAGTGTGAAGTATGCTGTTGCAGTATTACTTTGTACCCTCTAATGGTACAAAACAGAAAGTTGGCAAAATTTGATTCTCATTGAGTTGTTTCATACACTTGGTCTTCTGTGAGAACTTCAGTTTTTTTAAGCCTACATCATGAACCTTGTATCTGGAATAATTGAACTCTTGCTTTTGTGGTTAGTGTTAATTGGTAAGGAAAACATGACCAAAAATTGTTTTTAAGTCTCAAAATGTAATGAACTCTTTGTTAACTTTATAATCTACATGTAATGTTTAGAAAGGCCCTAATATGATCTTCCATTTTTTGGTGATGAGTAAGGTAATTTGTAATTTGTACAGTAATATTTAACTACTATATATATACATATATATATATCTTTGTTTATCTCCAAAGTCAGATGAACTATCTTGTATTTTATAATATTCAGAAATGCAAGAATTCCTGTCTGATACACTAAGCAGTTGTTATATTTTAGATAATTTCTG